AATTATTTATTATAAAGAATTTAATAAATGATTGAAATCATTATATTTATTAATCTTTTTTAATAAAAAGATTATAATATGAAAAAAAAATTATAATATATGATTTTGCATATATTAAAATATTTTTCTTTAATAAATTTATAATAAATTTTATCATTAATGTTTTATTTTTTTTTTTATTTTGTATATTTTATAAATATTTATATTACGAAGATTTGAAATATAAATTTTTATTGTAATAAATATGAAATTATATATACGAAATATTTTTCTTTAACTAGTTTTTATAATAAAAATATTAAGTTTAATTCATAAAAATCTTTCTATTTCTATATTCATAAAATCTATGTTAAAATTTATCATAAGCATATTTTCTAATTTTTTTTTTTATTATGTTTCAGTTTGCTTACGACTACAAGTGAATCCCCAAAACAAAAATCAATTTTATGGAATAAGTCCAGAGAGAGGATTTGCAGATTTTATTTTTGCACATGTAATTCTACATCTTGTTGTTATGAATTTTATTGGATAAAAATGAAAAATAAAATTTGATTTGTAAAATTTTATAATAAACTATTAAGATTATTATTACATTTAAATTTGAAATTGAATCCTGCTAAAAATGAATAAGTATTATACTTGAAGAATAAAAATAATTAATTATACAAATTGCATATTTTAACGAATAGTAAAACTTTTTTAATTTATTTGTGTATGTATGTGTGTATGCGCGCACGCGTGTATATATAAATAATAAAGCCCAACTAAACCAATTCTATATATAATATATATATATATAATCCTATTTATTATTACACATAAATAAGACATGTATAAATCATAAAATTAAATAAATATAGATCATTGATTTTTAAATAATTTTGTTTCATAGAAAAAAAACAATTTGTTTGTACTTACAAAATTAAAATTAATAATAAAAATTAAAATATAATTTATTAACAAAAATGCTAAATTTTTATTTCTTTTTTAATCAAATTAAAAAAAATGAAATAAATGATATTACTTTCAACAATATAATATTATCAGTCCTCTAATGATGAATATATAACATTCACAACCAGTTGATTAATTAAAATAAAATTTTTTTTTATATTTTTAAGATATATAATAATTTTATGAACAGAAAAATAAAACTTTAAAAAATCTTAAAAACACAAATACATAGATTTTCAAAAAAATTATTTTTTGGCAGAAAATAAATGAAAATCTAAGTAGCATTTTTTTAAAGAATAAAAACATTAACATTATTAAAAAAGATTTATGAAAAATATTATGATTTTACAAGAAATTAAATTTTCCATGAATTTTCTTAATATATAAGCTTAAGATTTAAGAAAAATTTTTGGAAGATAATAAGAAAAAAATAAGAAAAAAAAAAAAAGATTAAGACCTCTGAAAATTTATATTTCTTAATTTTAATAAAGAATTAAAAATAATTAAGCGAATAATACTTTTAAGTTAATTCTTATTAGCACTAAAAATAAAATGATTAATACTTTAAGTTAATCGTCCATATTTTTACTTAAAAATAAATAAAATATATTTTTGCAAAAATTATTTTTGAGACTGGAAAATAATTTTTAAAAAATCTATTGCTAAAGATCGAGATCTTAAATAATATGATAGTATTAAAATAAAAAAAAAAGCAAATATAATATTGATGAGTGCGAAGTTTTTATGAAAATTAAAGAAGAGAAATTAATGGAAAAAAAAACTGTGCCTAAAACTTGTCCTTTTTAAAAATACAACAAAAATTAAAATCTTTCAAAAATTCTTAGATTCATAAACAATAATAATAAAAATTATAACTTATATAGAAAAATAAAAAAAAAAAAAGATAATTCAGTGTTGCCAGAAAAATTCTCTACTAAGCGCAAGATGACATCATACTGTTATATACAAATATATCATACGAAAATTAGTGGTATTAATATCTTTATAATTCACAATCCTACATATCCACAATTATGTATCTAAAGTATAATATGAAACTCACATCATAACACGCGTTATTCAGTTTCTAAATTCCTATCATTTACCAGTTCTTATCATATTCATCATTTTTTACGCTACCATTTTTTCCTTATTTTTTTTTTTGCCTTTCTGGCAACCCTGTATTTGATAATAAAAAAGAAAAAAAGAAAGAAAAAAAAAAGTAAATGGATATCAGTGGACATGTACTCAAAAAAATCAGTCGTTATAATCTTCTTTAAAGAAGATGGCCGCTACGAAGCACAAAAATCAAAAATATCAATATATATCTCTCTGTTTTCAATATTTTATGAGGTGACATTAGAAACATGTTGGTCAACTTCATGCTTTTTTCGGCGTTTTTCGAAATATCTCTTCTTAGCAGCAAGTCTTAGTAGCTCTTTACGACGCTGTAGGATTTGTTCTCTTTCGGACGATGATTTGGAAAACCGTCCTCCTAGACTGGAAGGTTCTTCCCCACTATAATAATTAATTTTGAAAATTTTTATATTAAGCAAATTGTATTATATTATAATTTTAAAACAAGGTAAAATTGCAGAAAATTATTTTCTCTTCGATTTCGATGATTTTGGAATATATTGTATCAACATTTTCTTATACGTATAATAAGTGAATTTTAATTTTCGAGATATTTGCAAAAAAATTGCAATTATTATGTAAAATTTTTCTTATGTTTATACATATATCCATAATGTATGTCAGTATGAGAATAGAGATTACTTATTAATTATTTATAATTTTGATAATAAAATATAATATTATCTTAAAATATTATACAAATTGCGATTGACATTTAAAATATATAATGAGTGAATTAATATCATATTTTATATCTATTCATAGCAAAAATTTGAATATGAAAATATAATACAAAACAATTCTTGAGAGACCAAAATTACAATGATTGTTATAATAATAGATACTAAATGATATAAAGCAAATATTACTAGATATATTGTAATTTTTGTTATTATAACTTTGATTATCTATTTTATTTTCTACGGATCCAAAAAAAAATCATTGAAATCAGAAATAAAATAACTTTATTATAATAAAAATAAAAATAAATAAAATGTATTTATGAATTATTTTAAAAAAGTGTTTAAAAAATAAAGTTATTTTTTACATTTAATCTTCTATGAATATTTAAATCATTTACATCCAAAACAAAATTTCATTTTAAAAAGAATGCATATTAATTTAAAATAAGTATTTGATAATTTTAAAATATTGTGTAATGAATTTAATAGAATCATTGTAATATCAATGTAATATCAAAACTCTTTCATAAATAATTCGAAAATTAAAATCAACTATTAATTATGTGTAAAGGAAGATATTTTTTAAAATAATGCCTTTAATAACATATTTGAATCATTAAAATTGACAATTGATCAAAAAAATCATCATATAATTATTTTAATAGTTTTGCTAAAAAAGTTTTTTAAAAATTAATATTATAATTAATTAATAAAAATTATTTATTTAATTTTTAATATTTATTTATATATTTATTTATTTATAAATTAAATTTAAGAATAAAAAGAAAGAAAATACCTATCAGTCAGAGGAATATCAAATCTTGGATCTGAAGATAATGGCGTTGAAGAGCTATTTAAAGAAACACTAGTTTCACTAGTACTGGTATGGATTTGAAGGACGGATTCCGATTGTGGTTCTTCGATTATACGATGAGGAGATATTAGCACTCCATCCAAGATATTTTCAACTGTCCATTCAACTGATCTGGTCATTCTGAGATCTTCTACAATTAGATTACGCGGAAAATGTGGAAACAGTTGCTGCACCTGTTTTAATAATGAATAATATTATTTTAATTCATTATAATAATTATTTTCTTTCATTATAATAAAATTATAATAAAATTATATATATTAAAATATTTTTGGTAATTTTTTGTAATGGAAATTAAAATTAAATAAAATTTTAAATAAAATAAAGTTAAATAAAAATTTTATTTTGATTCAAATAATAATAAATCATTTGATTCAAATAATAATAAATCAGATATAATAAAAAGTGCATATTGCATATTTTTATACAAATTTAATATAATCATATATATCAACTCTGATAAATGAATATTTTCTCTAGTATTTATCTTTGCTATAATATATGAAAACACAACATATGAAAAAAATTTAATATTAGAAAGTAAAAAATATAATGTAATAATTCTTTTCAGCAAATTAATAAAATCTTTGAAGATATATATAAGAATTTCTCTTTAGTAATGAATAGATAAAATATACATATATATATATGTACATATAAATAGTGATTATAAATTTCTCATATAATTGCTTCATCAATTTGAATAAATAATTAGAATTATCTAATAGCAAATTGATAGTAGATTGAAATCCAATTTATATCAAAGACGAAAATCAAAAACTGGCATCAAAACATTGTATCATTATCCGTTTTGTCATTTGTTTTTGGCTTTACCATCAAATCTTATTATATATATGAGGCAATAGTTGATGTTAAAAATTGTGTTCCATGTTTCAATAATTAAGTGCAATATAAATTTTGTTACGTTTCATATATATTCTTATGAAATATAATCAGTTATTCAAATAGAATTTGAACATTTTTAATATGAATTTATCTTTAGCAAAATTTGCAATATTTCTGCAATCTGTCGATACATTATTTTAAAAAGTGTTTCTTATTTTTTTAATTTTTATAATAAAAATTAATAAAAAATAAAAAATTTTTTAAAACAATATTTTTTAAACAAATAAATTTGAAAAATTCCTATATAACTGAAATATGGAAATTTTTGAGTTTTTTGATTAAAAGGAAGCAAATTAATATATAAATCTTTTTTCTAAATTTAATAAATTTAAAAATATTCTATGAAATATATTTAATTTGTAATTTTGAGAACTATTTTTACTTTTTTAATTTTAATATGAAAAATATTTTTTCAAAAAATATTTAAATTATTATTATATTAATAATTATAGTATCATTTTTATTATTTGAAGTCTTATTAATAAATTTTTTATTTTGCTCCAAATAAATATAAATTTCGAACAATATCTAATTCCAATTATGTTTTATTTATTATATTATCCAATTATTATTTTATTTATTAAATGATCAATAGATGAATAAAAGTCATGTTAATTTTTTTAATTAGAAGAATTTTAATTAGCTTATCAATTTATTGTAGAGTTAATTTTATGAAAAAATAAAAATATCTTAATAAAAAAATATGATTATGTAATATATGTATATAATATACTTATATAATTAAACACACCTGTCTAATCATAGCATCCATTTGCGAATTATTATGTGTAATAGTAGAAATATTCCCACGTAATCTATTATGAGAAACTTCAACAGAGAAGCTCGGTAACCAAGATACATATCTTGAACCATCGAAATGAAAGAAATGATTTTCATTCCGTCTGGCTGGTGTTTGTGGTTCATTTTGTAATTCTTGTGTGTTTTCTCGATGGCTAGGTTGCATGCTTAAAGCAAGTCTACAAGTTGGACAAGAAGTATCCTGTTCTAACCAGGATTGTAAACAAGAATTGTGAAAAAGATGAGCACAAGGTAATTTTCGAGCTGTTTCCATTTTCTCCCAGCAAATAGCGCAATTATCCGAGTTTTCTGCTAATTCCTCTTGAGTTGCCATAGGATAGCTAGAATAAATATTTAAATATTTTAATATTTTAAATATTGCAAGTAAATTAATTAATTAATTTTAATTTAAATTTCTAAAGATTTAAATTTAAAATAGTATTTTCTTATATTTTTTATATATGTACTTTTTTATTATTTTTTTTATTTTTTTCTTATTCTGATAAAAAATACTCACTTCTGTTCCATATGATTTAAGACAGCAAGATAATTCCTATGTTTTGTAATTTTGCGTTGTATCTCATAGAAAAGATATCTAAGTTGCATACAAATTACAAGGGATGCCATGCTTAGAAATATATTACTCCAAAGTAACATATGAACATGATGGAGGAAATCTACAGCTAGCACTATTAATTCTGCTGCTAAATCTGTATAATATGTTAAAGGACCCCTTTTATCCCAAGAACGTTGTGAGGAAGTTCCAGCTCCTCGAGTATCATATAAATGAATAATATATCGTATCATAACATGAATTGTTCTGACACCTAATAGAATGCACTGTTAACAAAGAAATAAATTTTTAGAATTATATGTATTTAATATATTAA